GGGATTGAACTCATGCCCTTGCGCTTGCCAGGGAAGCACTTATTCCATTGAGCCATCTCACCAGCCCTACTCTTGGTTTTTGAGACAGGGTATCACTGTGTAGTCCAGGTTAGCTGTGGTAATCCTCCTGCCTCAGCGCCACCCTCCTTACAGGCATGCACCATACCCAGCCTATCTTTCTTATCCTGATGAAGGTCTTTTGTTTCTATCACTCTATCATCTAGAAACATACCAGATTATTATTTTTAGTTATTGTCTCATACATAAATACAAGCTCCATAAGGGCTAAGATCTTTGTCTTATTGTTTACTGTTATGTCCCAAGGTCTACAACAGTGCCTGGTGCACAGTAAGAACTCAATGAGCATTTACTGAGGGAAGGAATGAATTTAATATTTCTAGGAAGCCTTCCAGCACAATCTCTCTTATGGCAGAGCATGGGGGCAAAGACCCAGCACAGCACGTGGCATGAGAGGGTACTGATCTATAAAGTTTGTTGGATTAATCTCAGTAAGCACCAGAATCCTCCTGGAGAAACTGGTCTTTCTAAAGCCCTGTGTTAGGACTGTTATTTGCAAGCAACAGAAACCAAAATGAAACTAGTATAGACAGGAAAAGAAGAAAAATATAATGGAAAATTCAGAGGTCAGGTGTAACAAACTCCAGGGATTTGAATGATGCCACCAGGAAACTTACTCCTCTAACTCAAGTTTGTGCCTCCTCTTTCGGTTTTATTCTATCTCTCATACGGTGGCACAGTGGCTGCCCAGAGGTGAAGGCTGGAGCTTCACCCGGCCCTCTTAGCCACCCAGCAGCCAAAGCCTTCCTTCCCCATGACTGCCACCACAGCTTTCACTGGACTAACTCTGATCCCTAAATCAATCCCTGACCAGAATACGAGAGGTACATAAGGGCTAATTTAGAAGTGTCCAACTCTTGAACTAAGAGTGAGGTCAGCTTTGTTCAAACACCAAGGAAAGGGAAGGGAAAGCCTGTTTCCCAGGAGAAAAATCAGCATGCTGCTTCCAAGAGCGACACTGAGTGGGTGAAGACCACACCACGCATGGGGGAAGTGGAAGCCCAAGCCCAAAGTCATCTCCTAAGCAACTGGGACTTAGAAGAAGACCCCTTGGGAAGGACAGGCACGGGCCTAAGCCCTGATAGACTCCCCGAGCTCCAGGCGAGGCTCAGCTATTTCTCAGTGTGTCTGGATTCAGGAGCAAAGCTAAAGGCTCTGGAGGAAGCCGTGGGCACCTTGGAAGCACAGTGTCGGGAGAGGGAGGAGCGCCGCATCGACCTGGAGCTGCGGCTCGTGGCCGTCAAGGAGCGCCTGCAGCAGTCCCTGGCAGGGGGCCCGGCCCTGGGGCTCTCCATGAGCAGCAAGAACAGGAGTGCGGTGAGTCCTCTGCTTCTTGGGCAGCTGCTTCTTGTCCCCTCCCGGGCTACAGACCCCTCCGCCAGCACTTCTCTTTGGGAGCTGTGCTCATTTACAGATGAGAAAAGGGCGACCGGAGGAGGAGAAGGCACGCGCCACCTGCGGCACAGCTCAGACAGGGACTCTCAGAGCAAGTTCTTTCTGTGCTTTGACTAGTTATCTGTGCAGCAGCAGCAGCTGACTTTATCCTGAGGGAGATTTTAGGAATGACCGACCTTCAGTTACTGGTAATGGTGACCATGAATCGAACAACAAGCCTATGTTGTTCTACCATCACTGGCCAGTACCACATCTTACCCTGTAGTATCTGGCTTCACAGCAGTCCCATGAGGTAATATTGGGTGTTGTAAGCTCACTTGACAAGCAAGGAAGCAGGTTCAGCGGTCTGGAATAACTTGCTTGGGTCACGGAGCAAAGTAGAAGACAAGATTCCAAGTGCAGGAAGTTAGTCACAGAGCTTGGCCACTGTGATGCAGGGCCTCTCCAGGTCTGGAGCACACCCATCCTGTGCTGGGGGCTGGTCGGCATTACGGCTCAGGTCCCAGCAACGCTGCACGTCAGCAGTCTCCCCTCCAGCAGAACTTCCTGACCTCGCTCTGAGCACTTCCCTGACCTGGTCTCAACAGGGTCTTCAGCCTCAATAGCGTAGACATTAGGGGCTGACAACTCTTTATAACAGGATATCATGTTGTGCATTCTGGGACGCTTAGCAGCATCCCTGCCCCTTCCCATTGGTTGTCAACAGTATCCCAGTCTCAGTTGTGGCAACCAGAAATATTTCCAGGTCTTGCCAGATGTCCCCGAAGAGGGCAAAGTCACCCCTAGTTGGGAACCAATGATCTACATTAATGTTCTCATCCATTATTCCTCAGTTCTTACTACAGTCTGTATGTGTGTGTGCACGCACTTGTGTGTTGGTATTTGTGCCCATATTTGCATAATGTCTTCTCTCAAGTATGATAGTTTGCATTTTTACTAAGAATTGGAGGCTGAGGTTGTTGTTTAGCGATAGAGCACTTGCCTGTCATGCGCAATGGCCTTGGTTAGATCCGGGCAGCACACACACACCAAATTGGACTATGTCTATTTATCATTATATCCCTACCCTTTACAGAATCTGAATAATAGAAAGATGTAAACAATGTCTGAGTGAATCAATGCCTTGCCTGCTATCAGACCATAAAATGGAGACAAAAGGGATGAAATAACTTGTCTGATAAGCATGAGTGCGTCAGAAGTTGTACAGCAGTACTGCTGGTCCAGGTCACACCACCTGGGCCAGCCACACCCAATGACTCTGAAGCCACAGCTGTGTCTTACGCCCCTACACTTCCTCTCAACGGCATTTCCAACCTCATTTTACAGATGATGAACACATGAGCCAGAGTCACAGAGGGGTGGAGGAGCTAGAGTTGGTTTGCTCTCGTTGCCACCACTTCCTACTCTCAGCATGCCAGACATTCCTGGTCCAGCATGCTTGATCCCTTTGACACTCTTTGGAGATAAAAGGAAGTCACAGGCTTAGCTGTTAAGATGTCACAGTTAAGAAACTACAGTCAGGATCTAGGGAGATGGCTTAGTAGAATAAGCGCTTCACTGACAAGCGCAAAGGCCTGAGTTCAATACCCAGTTCTGCAAAAAAAAAAAAAGAAAGAAAGAAAGAAACTACAGTCAGTAAAATATTAAGCAGATACCTGGAAAATACAGTATGAATATGGTATAACTACTAGAAAGTACCAGAGAGGCAAACAGGGCCTGGAGCTCAGGGACAGAGCAGGTGTTTAGCGTTCACGAGGCAGTGGGTTCCATCCCCAGTGGCACCCACCCCATCAAAAACAGCATGGTGAGCCAGCCAAATAGCTCAGCGGATTAAAGCACCTGCAAGCAGGTGCAGGGGCTGGGGGTTCGATCCCTGGGCCTGCTGTGCCGGAGTGTGCTGAGACAGCAATTAAGACTGGGTGTGGTGGTGTGTACCCATAATCCCAGCACTTGGGAGGCTGTAAACAGGTGGATCACTATGAGTCTGATCTAGTAGTGAGACCCTGAACACCCTGCAGACACTTCCCTAAAATACAAAAAAAAAAAAAGGATCGCTGTGGGGTTCACATGCCTACATACCAGTCGCATAGCCTTGCACAGCCCCTCGATTCTCCCAGGTTCCTCATCTGTGAAATGGGTGGCTTCTCAGAGTACAACTACTTCACAGGCATAAGTGGGGTGCAGTGGTGCACACCTATAATCCCAGCACTTGGGAGGCTGTAGCAGGAGGATCCTTTCGAGTTTGAGGCCAGTCTAGACTACATCGTGAGTTCAAGGCCAGCCCGAACTGCATAGCAAGACCATCTCAAAGATTTAATTAATTGGAAAAATGCTACTGTACATTTAAAAAAAAGAGAGAAAAGCTACAAGTTAATCCATGCAGTGCTTAGTGCATAGTAAAGATTCAGTAATTTTAACTGTTACTCTGTATCCCAACACCTGCCATATCTTCTTCCCCTTACCCTTTTACTTTGACATAGTTGCTACATGTCTTTTAAGGTGTTCTTACTCTTTTAAGGAAAGGTTGGGAGCAGGTAGCATTACATCTCATCTATTTTTTATAACCTTTTTTTCTTGCCATTAACAGGAAACCACAAATAAACCCCAAAACAATGTCTCAGAGCAATCTCTCCCTGTCAATTGTGTTTCTGAGCTACGGAAGAGAAGCCCATCCATTGTGACTTCCAACCAAGGAAGGGTGCTGCAGAAAGCCAAGGTACAGCCATTAGTGGGCTAATCACAAGTCAAGGACCTAAGGGCCAGCAAGAGAGCTCAGCGGACTAAGCACCTGCTTAGGCAAGTGCAGGGGCCCAGGATTCAATCCCCAGTACCACACGCGCCATGCTGGCCCCACCCTCAGGCATGCAGAGCTGGCAACCAAGTCCGGGCATGTTGGCACCTCCTTAAAACAGGAGGATCATTACGAGTCTGAGCTGCGTAGTGAGACCCTGTACCAAATACATAAATTTTTAAATTTATGTATAAATTTCTAAATTTTTAAATGAGTCAGGGATCTCATAGCCCCTTTTTAGTGGAAGCTCACCCAAATCCAAAGGGACAGAACTGCCAATACTGGCATCAGGGAGATAGTTTGGTAGGATAAGCGCTTGCCTCGCAAGTACAAGGGCCTGAGTTCAATCCCTGGTTCCGCAAAAAAAAAAAAAAAAGAACTGCCAATACAGCCATGCAGTACAAATCATAAACTGTCCACAGAGGACATCACAGTCCAGTCATATTCAGGAACCCTGCACGCTTTGTTAACACATAGTTCTTCCTAGCACTTGGGAGGCTGATACAGGACTGCAGGCTTAAGGCCAGCCGGAGCTACGTAGTGAGAGACTGTCTCACAACTGTCTGCACACAGGCACACAATTCTAACAGGCTCAGTCATCTGGTTTCTCAACCTAAAAATGTTTTGATACAGGAAAGGTCCCACTTCAGGTTAGGGGTGATGGGACTTACCCAGAGCTGGTAAGAGCACAGCTATAGGGCTGGGATGATGGCTCCGTAGAATAAGCACTTGCCTGGCAAGCACAAGGGCCTGAGTTCAATCCCCAGTTCTGCCAAAATAAATAAATAAATAAAAATAAGAGCAGAGCTACAAACCCACCTGTGCCAGTTCTCCAGGACACTGGTATGCAGTCCCTTCCATGTAACTCATGAATCATTGGTACCAGGGGCCAGCACAGAATTTTTGCAGAGAGCCAGACAATAATGTGTTCCAGAATTTGCCAACCCTATGGCTTGTTTCACAACCGTTCTGCCATTATAACATGAAAGTAACCATAGAGTAGAAGTAAAGGGATAAAGAACAAGGCTGTGTCCCAATAATATCTTAGTGACAGATGCTAAAACTTGAATTTTATATCATTTTCACCTGTCATGAAATATCACACTTGCTTTGATTTTCCCAAACAAAACACTTTTGGCTGATAAACCTATGGTTTTATATGACTATATAAAAGAAGACATGTTTGACCACTAGGCACAATGAGTTAGTCCTTTATTTAACAACTTGTAGGCTACTGGAGGAACTGTGGATTTTGTTTAATATAATGGAGTCACTGGACAGATGTGAGCAAGGTTTTTTAATGTGAATTACATTTTTTAAAAGACGATCCTGAGCTAAACACAGTAGCACATGCCTGTAATCCCACCTCTCTGGGAGGCTGAAGCAGGTGGATCAAAAGTTCAAGTCCAAGGGGCCGGGAAGATGGCTCAGTAGGATAAGCGCTTGACTGACAAACGCAAGGATCTGAGTTCAATCCCCGGTTCCGCAAAAAAAAAAAAAGTTCAAGTCCAGCGTGGGCAACTTAGCAACTTAGTGAGACCCTTGCTCAAATTAAAAAGAAATTGAAGATCAGGGCTATATATAACTCAGTATAAAAACCCTGGGTTCAGTCCCCAGTACCACTACCTCCTAAAAGCCATATGGCTACTATATTGAAAATGGAAGAGGGAGACAAGAGATTAACATGATGAAATGACTTACTCATGGCCACAAAGATACTGAGAAGAACCAGGACCCAATACTCTAACCTGCCCAGTGGAGAGCTTTAAGTATAATAAAAAATTTTTACTCAGCAGTCATGCTACAAGTCAGGAACATGATTTGTTTTGTCTTTCTGTACTTCAGGAATGGGAAATGAAGAAGACCTAGAAAGAGCATGAGGATTTCATTGCAAAAGAAGTACCAGCTTGTCCACCTAAGGCGGAAATGCCTTTTCCCCCAAAGAGACACTAGGAAGAGGCTGGAAGGAGCCCCTGCTTTCTGGGGCACCCAGAAGATTGGCCTGTATTGTCTGCATGATTTTAGGGCCTGGGGAGGGAAGAAGCAGAAGGGAAGAGGGAAACTGAGATCACCCTTCTGACCTCACAACTGGCGAAAACGGGGGTGGAGGGAGACAAGTCCGGACAGCCCTAAAGGTTTTGTTAGCTACCTTTTCTTCTTCTGAAGAAATGAAAGCACGTGTGAATAAGCCATTCCACCCCGTCCTAGCCTCCCATTCCCAGTCCTTAAGGCAAAGGAGGGCAGTGCTGGATCATCAGTGGTGCAGTGTAAAGAGAAAAGACTTGATCATCTCATCTGATTGTTGTGCTAACCACACTCCTGTTGGGCATCACTGACCATCCATGGGCAAGGCAAACAGGCTGCAGGACTGGTAATGTTACCCCTGCCTGCACAAAAGGGAACAAGAGCCACCAAGAGTGTGGGACCCTGCAGCCACTTCTCATCTGCTTTAAATCTAAGCAGAAGGCAGCTACCAGAAACTTCCAGATATGAATATGTTAAAATCAAATACCTGAGTACCCAAGGAGCAGAGAGTTAATCAACTAATGGGAACATGAAGTTCTAATGTCCACAGGATGTTGAAGGTGTTGGGCAGTAGGGTCACTTGCTGCAAAGTCAAGTCCTTTATTTTATATGACACTGACACTCCTGGAGCTATAGTTAGAACCATGTCTTTATCCTAATGAAGTTCTTATCTTGCACTGGGAGGCCCATACCTCACCCTTTAGTATCTGCTATAAACCAAACCTATCCAGGAAAACCAGACGATGATGGCTCTTTGCTGCCACTTGGGTGCTAAACCTTTTCCAAACACTTGATTCTTTTAAAGGTGGTGCAGGGACCTCAAATCCTAAGCAGTCTCCTTTATGTCACTCACTACTGTTTTGACACTGTAGGCACTTTATGGGTCTGTCTTTAACATGTTTCTCGCCAATAAAGATAAAACCATTAACCCTTAAAATCTCAACAGTTAGCTCCAGGTGGGGAGAAGGGAAATCCCAAAATTGCTATGGACATTTTGCTAGAGGCCTGACATGTTTTACCCATGTAGTTTAACATACTTTGGCCCACTGAAACCTCACCACCCTCTGAAGTAGCTGGAGTCCAGAGCACAAATAACTTGACCAAAATCCCCTGGCTGCTCACTGGCAGAGCATAGGAGTGATGATCCAAATAGGCCTGGGTTTGAGCACTGCCTTTCTTACCTACCTGCTAGGTAGCCTCAGGAGAATGACTTGACCTGATTCTTGCTTTCCTTATCTGTAAAGCAAGATTAACTTTGTACTTTCACTCCAACTGTTGGATATTTAGTAAGAGAATACTTGAGAAGCACCTTGCGTGTAGTCAGACACAGGAAACAAATTGATGTTGGCTACATAAGAAATATATGACTCAAAAGCCTATTTTTTCTGCTGAGAAAGAAATGACTCTTACATAGCAACTACAGACACAAAAAGGCAACTATTCCAAGCCAGGTACACCTGTAACCCCAGCACTCTGGAGGCTGAGGCAGGAGGTCTGGGAGTTCAAGACCAGTCTAGAGTACAGAGCAAGACCTTGTCTCAAAAAAAAAAAAAAAAAAACAACCAATCTAACCTAGTAGTTTTCATGTAGATTCCATTTCAGTATCTCCAGTAACAATAGCTCACACCTACTCTGGACTGCCAGTTTTCTTTTGTGAAATGAGGTATACTAAACAGTACCCACCACAATATCCTCAGTTTCTCGTTTTTATGCAGTCATTTTGAGGTTAAATGTATTTTTTTCCACCAACATACCTAGACTCAAGTGGAGAGCCCTTAAATCATTAATAATTAACATGTATTGAGTACTTACCATGTGTCAGGCATTGTTAACCAGGGCCAGATTCTGAGTACACAGCCTGTGTAGTCACACAGCGTCCCACACCCAGAAGGTCCTGTCTGTACTGTTATTTATAATTCTCACCTTAATAACTTTTGAACAAGTGCTCCTGTGTTTTCCTTTTGTCCCTTAAATTATATAACCAGTTTCCAGGTATTATCCCTTCAGTCATAACAAAAATCATTCAAGATGGGTTACGTTATCCATTGTCACAATTTTTGCAGTTCAATCTGATCCTAGAGCCCCTGTAACTGAAGCCCTTATTTCATCCATGTATCTCCCTCGAGGTGCACTGCAGCATTCAGAAGTAGAGCATTTAATAAATAGATGCTGCATTGGCTGCATGTATGCAGCACACTGAGTGTAAGTTGGCAGCTGAGAAAATGAAAACAAACCAGCTAAAGAGCAGGTGCCCCTATTAGTTTTTCTGTGTAGCCCAGGCTGGCCAGGAACTGATGGCAATCCTGCCTCAGGCTCCTGAGTGCTGGGATTACAGGTGTGTACCGCCACACTTGGTTTAAGTGCAACATTCTTGTAAAATGCCTTATTTGGTTGTGGGATTTTTCAAACTACAGACCATGGTCTGAGGTGAACTTAAAGCTCCATGCTTCCCCACACTAGCAAGTTTTGGTCTGTTAGAACCCTTGTGTCACTGAATGCTCACCAACCACCCTGAGCCTCAGTTTTCTCATAAGTAAAAGTCATTCATAACTCCTCTGTAAGCCATGTTGCTCTTCTCAAGACAAAAACAAGAACAAAAACATAAGGTATTGGTAATAACACTTGTGACATGAGCTTTGAGTGAGAAATTAAAGTGCAGAAGACTCCAGTTCTGTACTCAAAACTGAGGGTCAAGCTGTAGAGAAAAATCTGACCCGAATTACCAGTAGACATACAACCATGTCTTGGAGAAGCTTCACAGTACTGAAGGCGCATGCCCCATTCCTTCTTTTTAAAAATTTTTTCAAATTACTGGCTACCCAGTAATACCAGGCCAGAAGATACTCTCTTGCCTGGACTATTACAGGAAAAGCTTGTTTCCCCTGCCTCTTTCCTTACATTCTGTAGTCTCTCCCATACAACAAAGTGATTCCTAAAATGTATAAGTTTTGACACATGTTCTCATTGTGACCAGAATAAGACTAAGGTGCACTCAACAGAAGGGGGGGGGGGTGAATGTTGAAAGCCTAAAGAAGGGCACTCGTCATTGGGAATGACCAAAATACAGTATGTCTTCCCTGATAGAACTTTTTTACCAAGTGAAAACGAGATACTATATATCATTTTTTAAAAAAAGTTAAGTCAGAAAATACAGGCATTGTAGTAAAAAGCGAAGAGAAATGGGGAAGGAACGTGTAGGCTGCAATTTTCATCATTCACGTGATCTAGTCCTCACTTTTAGAAACATTGGTTACATTTTGATTTTATATCTCGTTTTTATCATTTATAACTTTACGTAAACTTCATGTGCTGTGCCCAGAGGCGAAATCCACTTTATTTACGGCAAACGCTACGCCCAGTCTCAGATCTTGTAGGTAAGAGGTCCCAGAAGTGTTTTGCCCGGAAGAACCTGACGACCGGAAGTGCAGCGTTCCTACCCGGAAGTCCCCCAGGAGAAACGTTCGCAAAGGTTGCCGGGAGGCGTGGTTTTCAAGAGAGCGCGTCTCATTTGGAGTCAGTGCGCTTGCGCTGCATCGGTCCTCTCAGGTCTGGAACATGGCCGCGCGGTCGCTGTGGGCGGTCCGGCGGCGGTTGCAGCGCCTCCTGGCCTCTAGCACTTTGTCGGCGGGCAGGTAAGCGATGCGGGAGGGTCAGAGACCTTAAAACTATGTGGGAAGGTTGTGGAGTGAAGGCGAGAGTTATTTCGGCGAAGGGTAAAAGACGCGCCAAACCTCCCGGCCTTTTGGACCAGGCTTTGACTACCCCATTTTACGGAGGAGGAAACTGAGGCGCGCCTCTTTCTCAAACCGAGGGAGGTGGGTGAGTCCGAGGTCATGACCCGGAAGGTGAGAAGTCTTGATCTTGAGCAGGCGTACGTTTCCCGCGGGCCCCTTCTCACCCGTGGTGTTTGTGGGTGTGTCTGGTTTCTTGCCCAGCCTCCATGTGACTTTAGCTCAGCCCCGGCATCATTTTACCTGTTGATTGAAGGAGAGCGTTGGACCTGGTTTCTCCCACAGTATCTGCTTTAGAGATCCTGTGAAATTTCAGTTGCGGCCTTTGGCTTTTATTTGAACTTTTATCATGCTTACTGCAAAACTGGAAGTCATTATTTTTAGTATTTCCCACTTAATAATTAAGGAAACCGAGAAATGTTTAGAAACATTGAGCAACTTTTCCAGACTTCAGTTCTCGGGAACTGGTAGGCCGCTTCCTTGAAGCCAGGCAGAGGCCAGAACCAGCGCTGTTAGTGACTGACTCTGAGTCTGGTCAGGGGCTGTTCCTGGAAGAGAATAAAGATGTATGTGTAAAGAGCAGGGTCGACCTGTGGTTGTAAAGGTTGCTGCAGAGATTTTCCTGAAGATTTTCGTAACTATTTGTCGTCTTTTTTATAGTAATATACCTGACTCAACACTCAGTCTTAACACCTAAGTAAAGAGCTAAGTGGGGTCAGGACAGCGTTTTATTTCAAGTTTCCTGGCAGTTAATTGGTGATGTAGGGAAATGAACTAAATAGAAATGGTTCCTGCCTGAAAGACTTGCCCCCACACATCTGTGCTGAAGGAATCGGAATCGAGATCAGATCCAACTTCTTTCATAATCTGTCTGGCCATTTTCTCATCAAACTGGCCCTGAGGTTATTTTGACCTGCTTTCACTTGGACAAATGTGTTGATTTTTTTAACGGGGGAGAAGATAGTTCATCATGTATAATTTCCGGCAGAGGTTTGTTGACCATATTTTCTGAACTAAAAATTCAGAATTTAAATTAGACAGCACATCATAATGATTGAATTCAAAACCAACTTAGGAAGTCTGGGAGATAAGTTTTCTTGTCCAGACTTACAAGCCAGCTCTTCGCTCTGCCCAACATGTTCTTCTTCCCCTTTCTTAGAGTGAACTCCTTTACCCCTGCTTAAGCTTTTCTTCAGATGTTACCTCAGTGGTCACATTTATATGGCTGTTCATATAAATCACTATTTGTTTTAAAGCTCTCCTATGTCCAGGCTGGGGATATAGTTCAGTGGCACAGTGCCTGCCTGGTAAGAGCAAGATTCTGAATTCAATTCCCAATACAAAAAAAAAAAAGTTTCTATATTCACAGACTTGAGTTTCCTGATAATTTTACTGGAAATCAAATTGCAAGGATCAGGAAATGTTAATGGAATTTTTTTTTTTTTTTTTTTTTTTTGGTCTTATTGAGACAGGATCTCGCTGTGCAATTTGGGCTGGCCTTGAGCTCATTTTGTAACCCAGGGTGTCCTCAAACTCCCAATAGTACTCCTGCCTCAGCCTCCCGAGTGCTACGATTACAGATGTGCCATGTCCAACTGGAAACTTTCTTAAACTAGGAGTCAGAGCTGTCACAGTGAAGATCTGCTATAAACGAGTCTCTACTCTTAACTGTTCTATGTAAACTCTCAAATCATTTTAGTGAAAGCAGCCAGTGACTCTGTGCCCTACATGCATAGAAGAAGCCAGTGTGCCTATGGCTCCAGGTTTTTGGAAAAGAGCAAACTTCACTGTGAGGTCCGCTGGTAAGGAGGCCGGAATAGATGCTTAAATCAGTCCTCTCCAGTTAGCTGGTAGTAGGGGAATTTATAGAAAAGGAGAAAGGAGATGCTGCCAGTTGATTAGATGGTGAGAAGGGGGCATTTTAGGGTTCTTTTGTACAAACATAGTCATTATGCCTCCTCCCAGGTCACATGTTTCTTTTTAGGAGATATGATGTTCTGTGTGGAGGATTTTGATCCTGTGACATCATAAGGTCATTGACTGAACCAGGTGGCTTCTCCATTCCTGAAACTCCAATTTCAGACTGACTGAATGGATTGTGGAGACACTTCCTGAAAGATAACTAAAGCACTTTGTTATTTAAGGACTTCATGTCCCGTTGTGTCCAAGCCTTAACTAGTTTTATTACCTGCACAAATTCTAGATTATGTACCTGGTTGAATACAGAATCTGTTGTAGTCACCTGTTACAGTTCGGCAGCCGTAGCATGCAGCATTGTATAAATATTTCCCAACTTAGAGTTTATGTCTCAGCACAGGTTCTCCTCCCAGAAAGTCTTATCACTTACAGTCACAAAGGCTTATAACACCAAGCCAAACTTAACTCTTTACTAGGACTGATTTTCTCTTTTTGTAAGATGAAGGGCTCAACTAGAACTAGAACTGTGGTTTTGAATTTTCACTTCTGGTATTGCCCTTTTGGTTCTTGGAATTAGCCTTGGTTTCCTCTTGGCGTACTTTTGTGTACTCATTTGTATTTCTGTCTGGTGTTCAGTGTTCTGCTTCAATAGAATGCTAGCTCTGTGGCATGTGAGTTGGTTGCTTTTTCAGAGACAAGGTCTTGCTGTATTGCCCAGGCAGTCTCATGATCCTCCCATCAGCCTCCCTAGTAGCTGAAACTGTTAAGCACACACCATTTTGTCCAGCTTGCTTGTGTGACCTTGAACAAGTCATTAAGCCTCCAGCCTTTCAGCAGTTTTCTCATCAGTAAAACAGAAATGATAATAGTATTTATTTCATGTTGTTAATAATAGGTATTCATAATAGCATTAAAAAAATGGAAATAACCAAATGTCCATCAGTGACAGATGGATAAACAAAGTGGTATATTTATACAATGAAATATTACTAAGCAATAAAAAGTAAACAATTAGTGATTAATGTAGTTACATGATTACCTGAATGAACTTTAAACACATATCAAAATACTCCCAGGGAGCGGGGGATATAACACCACACCTGCCTGACAAGCACAAGGTCCAGAGTTCAGTTCCTGGTACCACCCCTCCCAAAGAAAAGCCTCTCAAAGGACCACATACATTATCTCATTTATGTTAAACATCCATAAAAGGCAAATCTATAGAAGACACAAAATACATTATGCTTTCTCAGGGTGCAGAGTTTTGGTAGAAATGGAAAACAGCTGCTCGAAGTTATAAGCTGCTTCTTGTGGAGATAAAGACATTCTAAAATTCTGATGCTTGCCCAGCTGACTATCCTAAAAACTTTTTTTTTTTTTTTTTTTTTTTTTAAAACCGGGGATTGAACTCAGACCCTTGTGCTTGCCAGGGAAGCACTTATTCCACTGAGCCATTTCCCTGGCCCCAATAAATTGTTTTTTAAAAGGCTCTTTTAAAAAACAGTAGGGGGGCTGGTGAGATGGCTCAGTGATCTAAAGCACCTACTTAGAACAAGCTTAGCAAAGCACAGGGACTGCGGTTTGATCCCCCAGCACCACATGCCAGCCAGCCCCGCCCCCTGGTGGGCTGAGCTGGCCACACACACACACACACACACACATAAATAAATGAATAAAAAATAAATAAAATAAAAAACAGTAGGCTGGGGAGATGGCTTAGTAGAATAAGCACTTGCCTGGCGAGGGTAAGGGTCTGAGTTCAATTCCCAGTCCCCACCCACCCACCCAAAGAAAAGAGGAAAAGGAAAAAAAAAAAAGCCCCTTTCTCTTAGGGGCCAGGAAGATAACTCAGTAGAATAAGCGCTTGCCTGGCAAGCACAAGGACCTGAATTCAATCCCCATTTCTGTAATAAATAATTTTTTTTTTTTTTTTTTGCAGAACCAGGGATTGAACTTAGGCCCTTGCACTTCCCAGGGAAGCACTTATTCCACTGAGCCAATATAAATATATTTTAAAAAGAAATAAAAATAAAAAACAGTAGTGCTGCCAGGCATGGTGATGGATGCCTGTAATCTTAGCACTTGGGAAGCTGCAGCAGGAAGATCACTGTGAGTTTGAGACCATCCTGAGCTACAAAGTGAGCTCAAGGCCAGCCTGAACCGCATAGCAAGATGCTACCTCAAAGACCAACATGGCTTCCAGCCGCCCTCTAGCTGCCATCTTGACCCCCCCCCCCCATTCCACGCCTAATCTCAGCTGGTCTGCCCCGGACCCCCTGAGCACCAGCCCTAGTCCCCCGTGCTGCCCCATATCCACTCTGACAAGATGAAAGAAACTATCATGAACCAGGAAAAACTCGCCAAACTGCAGGCACAAGTGCACATTGGTGGGAAAGGAACTGCTCGCAGAAAGAAGGTGGTTCATAGAACAGCCACAGCAGATGATAAAAACTTCAGTTCTCATTAAAGAAGCTAGGGGTAAACAATATCTCTGGTATTGAAGAGGTACATATGTTTACAAACCAGGGAACAGTTAGCCACTTGAACAACCCAAAAGTTCAGGCATCTCTGGCAGCAAACAATTTCACCATTACAGGCCATGCTGAAACGAAACAACTAAAAGAAATGCTACCCAGCGTCTTGAACCAGCTTGGTGCAGACAGTCTGACTAGTTTAAGGAGACTGGCTGAATCTCTGCCCAGTCTGTGGATGGAAAAGCACCACTTGCTACTGGAGAAGAGTATGATGACAAGGTTCCAGATCTTGAGGAGAATTTTGATGAGGCTTTAAGCCCAAACTCCTTGGACTCTGCAGCTCTCTTCAGTTTTTGCTTAAATACAATTCATTCTTTGCAGCCAATTAAGCTGGAGAAGCCTGGGAATAAAGTTTGAAACAGATTAATTTTTTTAAAAAGACCAACACACGCATGCACGCACAAAGGGCTTATTTCATGTGCTGGGAGATAAAAAGAGGATGCCAGTTAAACAGTGCCTAATACTCAGTAAGGACTTCATATTGTTTATTTGTTACTGTGACTGAAAAGTCTCTATAGAGATTCACTGTGGGGAACTTTCTGGTCTCTACATTTTGTTCTAGTTTTGCCTTTCTATAATGGTATTTATTCTTCTTGTGCCACCTCTCACCTGCTTTAGGGGATGGCTGCACCCATTCAGCACCGCTACCCAGAGAACTGCTGGTGAGGATTGCAGTTCTGAGGACCCTCCTGATGAGCTTGGACCCTCGCTTGCTGAACGAGCCTTAAGGTTAAAAGCTGTTAAACTAGAGAAGGAAGTCCAAGATTTAACAGTAAGTAGATTTCATATTACTTATTCTTCACTTCCTTTCTGTGACTTAAGTATCCACATTAAAAGTTTTTATAAAAAAAAAAAAAATTTTATATCCTTCTAAAAATGAAGTTTCCTCTGGGCAAAAAGTAATTAAAAGTCACTGGACTAACATCTCTTTTTAGTTCCCTTTTGTATCACAGCAATTACACATCTGACATTTTGGAGGTACAGTGTCTGGTAGGTAGAGACACCCAGTATAGGGTGTGTGTGAGGTCAGTGACCGTTGCACTCTACTGAGCAGACCGCATCTGGCGTAGGGTACCATAGTCAACACTCCTCGCAGGAAATGCATAGGTAGACCAGAGTAATCCAGAAATCCAGTCTTGCTTAGAATGATAGGATAGAAAGCATGTCTTATGAGAGCAGTTAAAGGAATCAGGAATTCTAAGAATGAAAGTGAAAAGGGCTAAAATAAGTACTTATAAATAGATGACACTCTTGTAAAACTTAATCTCAATGCTAGGATTAAGTCAGTGAAAGAAAGCTGGAGGTTAGTGATGCTAGCTGAATGTGAAAAATAACTTTTCTCAAGATAGAAAGCTAATAAATTATTATATTCAAACTAGCAGGCTAAGTGATTACTTACCAGGGCTACTTTGAGTAAGCTCCTTCCTTGGCTGGGGATTTGGAGTAGCAGCTATAAGACATTTATAATTTGTAGTTTGTTTTATTAAAAAACATATCACAACTAACCCTGGTACTTAGCCATGGACCAGCATGTCCTTGGGCTAGCGAGCAGGACATCGGGCTTCTGAACTGGAACTTTCCTTGTGGCAACGAGGGAAGAATGGTGACCATCCGGCGTGGAAGCTGCAGCAGGTTTAAAAATGGGTGATGCTGAGAAAGGCACGAAAATTTTTGTACAGAAGTCTGTCCATTGCCACACTATTGAGAAGGGAGGCAAGCATGAGACCGGGCCAAATCTCCATGGTCTTTGGGCAGAAGGCAGGTCAGCTGCTGGATTCTCTTACACAGATGCCAACAAGAACAAAGGTATCACTTGGGGAGAGGATACACTGATGGAGTATTTGGAGAATCCCAAGAAGTACATCCCTGGAAAAAAAATGATCTTTGCCAGCATCAAGAAGAATGGAGAAAGAGCAGACTTAATAGCTTACCTCAAAAGGGCTACTAATGAATAATAGTCACTGCCTTATTTATTACAGAATAGAAATGTTTCATGGCTTTTGTATATGTACCATAATTTTTTTTCCTTTTTTTTTTTTTAATTTTTTTTTTAACATTTATTTATTGTGTGTGTGTGTATGTGTGTGTGTGTGTGTGTGTGTGGCCAGATTGAACCGCAGTCCCTGTGCTTTGCTAAACTTGTTCTAAGTAGGTGCTTTACTTATTTATTTATTTATTTTTTTAATGTAAGTAGGTGCTTTAGGCCACTGACAGAATATTTTTGTTGTATAATCCGATTTAAATAAAATTGGTTTGTATTTAAATGAATCTTTTTTTTTCATTTAAGGTTTGATAGTAATTCCAGTTCAGTAAATACTATCACTATTTTCCCTTCTAAATATATGGTTGGACTTGATTAATAATGTTTGACTTTTCACAAAGATTGAGAATGTAATCTCAAAACTACTGAAGGTTGGTTTTATATTTAGATTTTTATAACTGGTTATGTGAATATGTTTAAATACTGAGAGAGTCATTGTCTCAAATCAAGCAAGACTCCCCTGTTTCAGTTTGTGTTTATTAGCCTATTAAAAGGGAGTGGTTGGAGACAAGAAAGCTATGTCTATATTTTTACTCTTGACTATGCCAATTTAATTAGAATTCTCTATATCTAAAAAATGCTGCCTTTTACTTATTGAAAGGCATTTTAGTTAAATACAGAATATTTAACATTCCTCACATTTTATAATTGATCTGTAAATTCAGATTCTTTTAAGAGTTAGCATGATATAACAGCAAGTTAGACTTTACTTTTGAATTCTTTAGGTCAGACTGAGTTATTGTTCAGGGTAGTATTTAAATAGCTATTCAGAAACACAAGACTAAAACTACTATTGTATGTGTGATTTGTAGTGGTGCTTGCTGTCAGCTCATTAGCAGCTGACTAATGTGAGGAAGGTACAACCTGAGCACAAATTTATATATAACCATAATACTTAATTAAAAACAAATCAGGGGCTGGGGAGATAGCTCAGTAGAATAAGAGCTTGCCTGGCAAAGGCAAAAACCTGAGTTCAATCCCCAGTTCCGCCAAAAAAAAAAAAAACAAATCAGATTGATTTTTTCAGTTAAGAAAAAAAAAAATCACAGAAGTGAAGTTTAGAAAAAAAGTAAAAAAGAGAAACATGTATTTTCTCATCCTTTTGGTTTTGCTTTTGATGTTCAGCTAAGATACCAGAGAGCTGTAGCCGATTGTGAAAACATTAGGAGACGAACCCAGAGATGTGTGGAAGACGCCAAGATATTTGGTAAGACATACATTCATAATAAAATGTGTTTCAACCAAAGGGTATGTGCTTAGCAGATGTGCCAAATAAAAAAAGTAAAGGTGTATCCAAGTCCTAATTGATCCCTTTTTATCCTTCCATTCCCAGGGCTTTCTGTGCTACTCACCAGGACTAGTGTAACCATTTGTTGAAATAATGTTGACTTTTAGCTAAACTTCTATTTTCTAAGCATGTACAGTTACTACAGTTCTGACAATCTAGTGCTTATACAAATAGTTCTGTTTAGCTAATTAATGTGAAGAATTCAGAGAAGACTAAAGAGCAGACAGGATAACCAGGAAATGCTGAAACTTGCCTATTGGAAGTAAGGTTGGCCTGTATCCGTAGGGCAAGAATCAGCTGTGTCTGCACCAGTTATTACACTTATAAAGAATCTTTTTTTGCTTTACTGTCAGTAACCAGATTCAGTCTGCAGCTTAGTGATTTATCAGGTAGCTTGATGAGGAAGATGGAGATTCAGCTCAGACCACAGACTCAGATAACTTAAAGGCTGTGTGATACCCTGTGTGTTTTTACTATGGAAGAAATTTAATGGTCTTTTAGAAATGTTTCCCTAACTGTACCACATCTGATTCCAAACGTTTTTGAGAAGGTGTTAGTTGAATAACCAGGATTTGGAAAAGGAGCAAGTCTGTAATTACTTGCTGCCTTCGAATTGAATATGGAGTGCTGTACTTTCTTTTTTTTTTTTTGTTTTTGTTTTTGTTTTGTTTTTTGTTTTTTGTTTTTTGTTTTTTGTTTTGGCAGAACCGGGGATTGATCTCAGTCCCTTGCGCTTGACAGGAAAGCACTTATTCCACTGAGCCGTCTCCCCGGCCCCCAGTGCTATACTTTCTGATACCACACAGAGAATGAAAGTGCTTGAAAGCTGATGGGGGAGGCGGGGGAGAACTCCTGCCTTGTCCAGTCTGTTTCACATTCCCCCGTCATCTGGATGTGATCTGCTCTTTGTGGACAGTCACCCTGTGAGTGGATCTGCGCTGCTCCTCACTTCTGTGCTGTCCTGTTTTGGTGCCTTGGCACAGCCTCTGCTGCTCACTCCATGCTGTATACCTGATGCTCCAGCAGCGGTGAAGTACAAGGTCCTGAGTTCAATCCCTGGTACCAAAAAAAAAGAATAAGACACCCTGTGACATTCTTTTTTATGTGGTACTGAGGATCAAACTCAGGTTGTTGTGCTTGCCAGGCAGCCCTCAACATTCTCAATACAGTGTTGCCTTTTTTATTGCTAACCCCAGCCTGGGTTTCTGATGCTTCAATCAAGTTTTACTCTCTTATTTCTAACTTAACAGCAGGACCCAGCAAATTGTAGCCTGCCACCAGTTAGACTGTGGTTTTGAATTTCATCATTTAAAATTCACGGGGGCTTCTTTTTCTCTCCCCCCCCCCCCGAACCAGGGATTGAATTCAGACCCGTGTGCTTGCCAGGGAAGCACTTATTCTACTGAGCCATCTCCCCGGCCCTTCTTTTTCTCTTTTGTTATGTAATCACCTATATAAGACCCATGATTTTGCTTCTTGTCCCACAAAGTCTAAAATATTTAACTATATGGCCAGAAAAAAATTACTGCCCTCTGAGCAATGGAAATGTCTACTAAACAGGCTTGTTATCATAGCAGGGAGCAACTTTGCTGTAATTCCCGCTTGAGCGGAGAAATAGGTAGACTGTTTTACTGGGAGTTTAGCTTTGAATCAGAACTAGCTTATTATGTCTGTTTATCCAAGAAATAGTAAAATTTCCAGAAATCCATTTTAAATTCAAAAGAACTTGATAGTTAAACTGATTTATTAACTTAAATTAAAAGATGACACCTCAGTCATTTGCTTATGTAATTTCCTCCCAGTGACCACAAGTATTAGACAATTAAAAGTTATGAATTTGGAGGCAGAAGGAAAGTAATTGTCATTTTTTCTGGTACTGGACATGATCTCAGAACCTTTACACTAAGCTCTCTCCCCAACCCTTCTATTTTGAGGCACGTTCTCACCAAGTGCCTGAGTTGCCCGGGTTGGGCTTCAATTTGTAATCCTCTTGCCTCAGCCTTCCAGAGAGCTGAGGATTAAAGGCATGCACCACTACAACGAGCTAATAGAATATGTTTAAGGCATATAGCATGACAATTCTAACTTCCCAAGGATAGTTTTGTCTCCATAATACACCTTTTTGGTCAGTTTTCTAATAGATTATGTGGTCATCAATCTGTTAACATAATAAATTAGAACAGAATCAGAAATTTGAGTGCTCCTCTTATAGACAAGATAATGTATGCTTCTATTTAACCTTCGCAAACTTTACTGACTAGGAGCAAGGTCTCTTACTTGGCAGGGTAAAACCCAGAAACTTCCTGCTTTTAAAGCACTTTCAGAAGGCTGAGGATACAACTCAGTGCAGAGCACTTGGCTAGCATATAGAGAGCCATGGGGTAGGTTTGATCCCTAGTACCATAAAAGAAAACTAGATAAAACCACCAAAATGTTGTTAGAAACCAAGGCTTGTGGGCCGGGGAGATGGCTCAGTAAAGTAAGCACTTCCCAGGCAAGTGTAAGGACCTGAGTTCAATCCCTGGTTCCGCAAAAAAGAAAAAAGAAACCAAGGCTTGTTTTCTAGAAATGCTTTCTAGTTTCACTGTTTCCTCTTTCACACCAGACCAAATCATACTATGCCTAGATCACTTCAGTTGACTCTCCTGTCCTTTCCTCCTTTCCTTCTGATCTTATTCATCATGCCCCCCAACCTATTATATCTGCTGTTATTCAGCTGACTAGAATCAGTCTTCCACACGTTTTTCCCAAGAAACCCTGCAAGATCTATTAGTGCCTGGCAATTAAAAGTTGAAAAAAAAAAAAAATCCTTCCTTTTCTTCAGTCCTTCCTTCCCATCTAGGCAGTAAATCTTCTCAGGGCTTTCCTGTGTTGTATCTTCTTATACTCATCCTTCTTACCTCTTGAGTATGGTTAAGGTGCTACATGTTTTGGTACAGGGCCTTAAACCTATCCCTAGATTAACAGAGTCCTTGCCTCTCACCAGCCCCCACAAAGTGCTGTATCATAGAATCCCTACTGGTGGCACTTCTTATCCTCTGTAAGGAAAATCAAGTTGCAGAACTAGAAAGAGTGGGGTTTCTTAATAATTGGGCTTACTTTTATCTTACGACATTTCTTGTCATTATGGAAAGTTTTGTGGCCTATCTCTACCAACTTTAAAGCAAAGTAGTTGGAGATACTTCATGTAAATGTGTCTTATCTTCCTGTTATATTTAGCCAGTCTTTAAGAATAAACCACCTGGGGCCAGAGAGGTAGCTTAGTGGCATATGCGCCTGCCTGGCACACACAAGGTCCTGAGTTCAATCCCTGGTACAAAAAAAAAAGAAAAGAAAATAAACACCCTGTGACATTCTTTTTTATGTGGTACCAGGAATCAAACTCAGGTTGTTGTGCTTGCCAGGCAGGTGCTTATATCATTGGACTGTCTCCCCAACCCTCAGCATTCTCAATATAGTGTTGCCTTTTTTATTGCTACCCCCTTCTATCTCCCATGAATTAATAATACCTTCCCTGTTGAAAATGTGGCTGTAAGGCCGGGGAGATAGCTCAGCAGCGTAAGTGTCTGCCTGGCAAGCACAAGGTCACAAGTTTGATCACTGGTACCACAAAAAAGAAAATGTGGCTTTAGCACAAGTGACACAGGCAGGAATTTTTAAACATTTATAACTTACCTGTGGAGATAGCTCAGTAGAATAAGTGCTTGCCTGGCAAGCACAGGGTCCTGAGTTCAATCCCCAGTACCGCAAAAAAAGTATAACTTAATACTAAACAACAAAAATGCAAGAAATAGAAAAATAGTAATTTTAACAGCTCAGAGGGCCAGGGAGATAGCTCAGAAGCATAAGCTACCTGGCAAGCAGAAGGACCCGAGTTCAGTCCCTGGCCCTGCGTGCCATGGGATCTTGGCCCCAGATTCCCAGGTTCCCACCATGTGGCCACCCTGAGTGTGGTGGCACATGGCCATAATACCAGCACTCGGGGGTTGAGACAGGAGGATTTCCGTGAATTTGAGACCAACCTAGGGGCTACAGAAGTGACCACAGGGCCACTCCAAACTGTATTGTCCAATCCTGTCTCAAAAGATAGATTTATTTTTTTTTTTTATTTTTTTATTTTAGCTTATTGTAGGTAAATTTAATCTAGGTTTTGGATTCTAACCTTCTACCACATTTCCTAAAGGGTTCCTGGTCATCTGTAACTTGTGAAAGAGACTAATTGGTCACTTGGGTTGGGGTGGTAAGCAGTGGTGATCTCCCAGTCCTGTGTGACTGTCTTTTCACTTTCTGGAGTACCAGGGTAAAGTATACTGACTATCTATCTGGGCCTGCCCCAGATTTCATCCCTAAAGGCAGAATGATTCCTCATAAGTGTCTGCTTTTTCGGTAGGAATCCAAAGTTTCTGTAAGGACTTGGTAGAGGTGGCAGACATTCTGGAGAAGACTACTGAGTGCATTTCTGAAGAAACGGAGGCTGGGGACCAGAAGCTCACTCTGGAGAAAGTCTTCCGAGGGCTGTCACTTTTAGAAGCAAAGCTGAAAAGTGTATTTACCAAGCATGGTCTGGAGAAGATGGCACCCATTGGTGACAAATATGATCCTCATGAGCATGAACTCATCTGTCACGTGCCTGCTGATATTGGGGTACAGCCTGGCACCGTGGCATTGGTAAGGCAAGATGGCTACAAACTGCATGGCCGCACTATTAGACTTGCCCAGGTGGAAGTGGCAGTGGAGTCTCAGAAAAGACTATGAGCAAGCCGTCAGGAACAGAATGTCCTCCCAGACCACAGTCACCTGTGTTTCCTTTATTTATTAATCTAGGTTTGTATTGTACATGAGGTACTTCATGTGATCTGTTTTGGATATAGTCACATTGGCTTTATTTCTAAGATACTTTTGATTTTATGTGACCCATTTGGTCTCATGAGAAATCTTGTCATCAGGCATTTGTGGCCTTTATCAAGATATGTTTACAAAGTTATTTTTAAATTGGTACTCTGATTGACTTTGAATCCAAAATTCTCTTAACTATGTATCTTCAATGAATTGTTGAAATTAGTACACTATATTGTATTTTGTGATAGAAAAAAAAGATTGATTCAGCATGTGGGTACTTAGCTTTACATTTATATAAAAATTTAGATCACTTGGGTTGATTTTTATATACATGGATTCCCAGGACTTCCCTTCTCATTTTATTATTTTATTATTTTGCATTTAGCCATGCTTTGTGGTTCCTACGAGGCTCTGTACTCACGTCATTGCTCCATACCAACCCCCTCTGACTCCAATTAGAAGGGCTGATGGACCAGCCTAGACTTCGGAAGCAGAGAGCATCAAGCAATCCAAGATACATCCCTTTCAAATAGAAAATTATTTGCAAATAGAAAATTATTCCCAACATATATCATAATTTTGGACAAACTGAGGCAGCACCAACAGCTAATGACCCAAATGGGTCTATATAGATAATTACCTGTAACTGCCCATTCCACCAGCCCTGACTGCATGTTTGTCATATTTGCCATGGAATGCATGTTGGATTATGAAGGTGATCTGGACAAAAACATTAGATTCCCCGGGTTTCTCATTTCATCCAGTTAAGCTGAGTGTTTAGGTTTTTGTTGTATTTAATTGGTATTCACGAATCACTACCTCCCTTGCACTGACAGACTTTGTTGTTTTGTTTTTTGTGGTGCTTGGAATCAAATCCATGGTCTTCTACTTGCTGTGCTCCTGACTTATTTCTCTAACCCTAACAGCTTTTGTTTCCTAGGTTTTATATCCATTTTAAGTTACATTTGTGTAAACATCTAGTTCCTCTTTTATGTAGATAATGGACCAATGTATCTTTTTTCAGTCCTACTTTGTAGCATACTGTGTAAAAGCTATGTCCAAGAAATGACTTAAGTGAATGAATAATACATCAGTCAGATGTTAGAAAGAAGTCTGAGGTATTTTAATTTTAGAAGAGCCTTACTCTAATTTTATCCTTTCTGCTTCTGAGGTATGAGTTTCAGTCTTTTTTAGGACTGGAACTAAAGGGAAAAATGTCAATAACTTGAATATGGAACAAGTGGATATTCAGTCATCTAAGATTAATATACATGCAGATATGTCCCAGCAACAATTAGTTGTTGGCTGTACAGATTGTATGACTTTAAGCTCCTTACCCACAAAGTACTTCCCCTAAAACTCCAAAACCCTATAGGGAAGCAAGCTGGCTTCTCTTCACCTTTCTAAGTTTCCTTGGGTAGGCTGTGAATTAAACTGAAATAAGATGAGGAAACACACACTATATTATTAAATAGGTATGTGTGTCACTCCCACAAAATGAGACTCAAAGGAGGGCCAGACAAAGCTTATGTGGCAGCCTGAACAATAGAACTGGTCTCCTACAGTCACATTTTGGGATGGTTAGTTACCCTCTTAGACAACTAGATATAAATACAAGATATTACACAGCCGTGTCAGTAAAGCCATCCTCTGTATATATGACCATCTCCATCAGATTTTTTAAAAACTAGATGGAGACAGGATGGTATAGGCCTGTGTAGAGTGTAGGAGCTGGGGGACATGGGACAAGGAAGCGTGCACTTTTAAAATGTAA